TTAGTAGGACAGTTACAATAATTAATACATTGCACATTGTTGTCTTCATAGTAGTTATGCAGAGGACAAGATGCAGACATGATATCTTGTCTAAACAATATTAGTGCAAACCTTTTTTCTCAGTGAACTAAGAAAAAGTATCTCTATATCTATCCTATCTTGTGTATACATATAAATATTTTTTCTTTTCTTCTCTCACGATAAAACAGTCCTTTATTCATACTTTGCAAAGTTAGTAAAATGTGACACTAGGTTGTCTAGCGATTAATAGCTGACCTTAACCAGATAGGATGTTTATCTCAGGAGTGAGGTATCTTGTTTACTTTAGGCACTGAGGCCTAGTCCCATCTACACACATTTGATTGATTTCCTAGCTTTGTGGCTCCTCTTTTGTGTTGTTTTGTGCGAGATGGGTGTTCCATTGCAGTAAGAGAAGCAGTATTTGGAGAAGTCTTTAAAGGACCTTTTCATACTTGATGCCAGTCTAGAGATTGTAAGTACTTGAATTCAGCAAAATAACCCAATATAGTCCAGTAGTTCATAATAATAGTGAGTTATCAGCACAACTGGCAATTGTCTAAAGTTGCTGACTTGAGCCTTTTAAGCTAAGCATATTAATATAGCTTTACTTTTTAATACTTTGTGGTTGCTCTTTTCTGTTGGATGGTTAAAATCAAGTTGAAGCAAGACCTATATAACTAAAAATGTAACTTTTGCTATCTGACAAGGTCAGTCAAATCCCCTCAGGATTTACCCTGGAACCATGTACAAACCTTGTAGATCTTTTGTCATTGTCAGCCATCTGGATGAGTCACAGCCATTGCTTAACCAATTTACTCTCTGTGAAAGCCTGAGAGAATTTTTTTACCCTCTAGGTGACTCTCCTTAGGCATACTATACACGGTCAGACACTTTTCCTCTGTGGCCCCATAATTTCTTTGATCAGAAAATTTGGGATACCTCTGAGTTACAGGATGACACAACAGAGGTTCTCTTATGTCTTGAGTCTTCACTGACCTTGAAGGGCTAGGGTCAAAATATTGGCAATCCTTTTAGTCCATTTATCTCTCTAATTTTTGGTCTGAAAACTTTAGTTGTTAAGCATCCAGAAGATTAATGAAATTATTACTCTGTAACAGAGGCAGTTAAGCTTAACATCACTATCTGTCTGAATATCAACTGCCTTAGACATAAAATGAACAATTTTCCAACAACCATGTATATTCTAAAATTTAAATCCCTATAGAATGTGAAAAAAATTACACATCTTTGTGCAGAAATTTAGAAATCAAACCATATACAACATTGTAGCAGGACAAGCCTATGACATTTTTTTTTCTTGTCTCTTGTTTTCTTTTATTACCTTTTTTTTTTTTTACAAACCTCTACTTTAAAGAGAGTATAGCAATAATTGATAAGACACTAGAAGCAGTACACATTTAGAAAACCAAAATGACAGGTATTTCAAGTATGGTTTTAGTATTACAAATTGCTGTTTTCAGTGTA